TTCAGACGTGTGCTCTTCCGATCTCCCCAAAACCCCAAAACCCCAAAACCCCGCGCGTAATAGATCAAAGTAGGGTAGCGAAAAATATAGTAAAATTATATAGCACATCAACAAGGTTAAGTTTAGATTATTCATAACTCCTATTAAATTTAAAGCTGAATGAGGGTCTTAATCTCAATAACTGCATGAAGTTCTCAATAGTCCTCATCGTCGAGTGGAGCGCTGATGCTTTGGCCAGCGATGACTCTTGGATCAAACTCTCCATCTTCTTCCTCCTCTTCTTCTTCTTCATCATCTTCGTCTTGACCTTCTCCTTCCTCATCACTACTTTAGTCGTCATTCATTTGATCATCATCGTCCAAGGCTTCATTAAAGAAAATGCAGTTGCCAGCTGCTAGTTTACCTGCCATATGATTTTTGTCGTACTTTGAACCACCAAAATGTTGCTACATCTCCTCATAAGCTTCTTCATTAGTTCTAGCTTCATCAGTTGGTTCATTCTCATATTCATAAGCCATATGGTCTTCAAGTGGGCCTGGGAAATTCACTGCTGAAAAGACCTCTGGACCAGCATGTTTACTCATTGCTAAAATCTTTTGGGACTAGGGGATGGAACTAGAGGGCTTGGTTGTTCCATTTAGGAACTCATTTAATCTACCTCTTTTCTCTTGATCAAGAGGCTGGGATTTCTTTTGTACGATTGGTCTGATTGGTTCATGGATGATACAGGATTAATCAGCTCTATCCTTCCTCTTTTTTAGCTATCCTCTGTTGTAATGCACATTCTAAGTTTAGAGTTTTCTCATCTTTTCAATCTCATATAGGTCTACAACAAAGCACTCCTCCTCAGTATGATACTCCTTGATGCACTCTCTGCAGAATACAGTACTATGGTTAGAGCAGTAGAAATGCATTATTCTGTCCTAGTGAGCTTTGCACAATTTGCTTTCAATACCATCTGGAGTTTCATCGTCAAAGTCAAGTGATGTCAAAACTGGATCTCTTTCAACCACTTCATAAAGGATATTGATGTTTAGAGGCAATCTCTCAACAGATTCAAGATTTTTGATAAGTTTCCAGCATGCTGGACATCTTACTCTAAAATTGTGATGAAGATGACTCAAACACTCAGTGCAGAATGTATGACCGCAATGCACAAGAATACGAGGGATTTTCTCTCCCACATTATACTTTTCTCCACAGAAATGACAGCAACTTAGGTTTCTTGATTCATAGTCTCCATGGATTTTGGGTTGAACTTATGTGGCTAGTTTTTGAAGAGCTGTCATTGGTTATGGCCAGATCGACTGCCCCTCTTGGTTAACAGTTGTTGTTGTCTACTTCATTTCAATTTAAATTTGAAATTAACAAGATAATTTTATTATTTCAGTGATACTTCTGCGATAAATATACATATAGAATACTTGCGGGGTTTTGGGGTTTTGGGGTTTTGGGGTTTTGGGG